GACTTGCAGCACATATCTCTAACTTCATTTTTATATTATAAAATTCAAAGTTTAGCTAACTATTTATGCAGAGTAGAAGAATATATCTTAAGATGTCTGATGCTGTCTAGGTCACTGTCTGTTGCTCTTTGCATTTCTGTCTGCCTTTCAGATTAAACATCAGTGAATCTGACAACTAAGCATTGCCAAGATTACAGCTGGTGTGACTTCTTCAAGCCTGAAAGAAAAACCTTATGATTTCTTATGTGTCTCTGTCTCCATTGTTTACTTTAGGAATAAAAAATGACCTTCAATATCCAGCTCTTACATTGGCAAAAGTTTTCCTGAAGGATAACTTTTTAAAGAAGCAGCAGTAAAGAAAGTTACTTCCAGATCATGTGAGCCTGTTTATTTTATAAAGGCCTTTTTAAATAGGCAAGAATTTTTTCCTAATGGTTCACTACTCTGAGTCTTTCTTTTATTACCCTGGAAAAGATCTGGGAGCTGGTGTCGTGATTCATTTTCTTGACTTTTCACATATTAGCACACATAGAAAGTTGGCTTGAGAAGTTTAAAAATTTCCAGAAATTTGTATATCTATTGAGAAGCTGTCCTTTAAAAGCTGTTCCAATGTGTGTGGTTTTCTACTCTCTCACTTTGTTTAAAAATTATTGCTGGAGCTGGGTGGCAGTGGTGCACATCTTTAATCTCAGTACTCAGGATGCAAAGGCAGGTGGATCTCCATGAGTTAGAGGCCAGGCTGGTCTACAGAGTGAGTTCCAAGACAGACAGGACTTTTTCACAGAGAAACTCTGTTTTGAACAAACAAAAAAAATATAAAACCTACTGTTGGGTGGGCTGAATAAATAGCCTTTAAAGGCTAGGTTAGCTACCCGATTACTAATAGCTTCTTGATTAAATTTTATTATTTTAGACACTTTAAATCATTATTAGAATAATGCATCATAACTTGGAGTGGTATTTCAGTCACCCTTCTTCACTTTTTCCCCCTAGGAAAGTGGGCTACAATCAAACAGAACCCCTGTACGTAACCTGAACAGGCAGAGTTTGTATTTTTTCAATCTTTTGTCACTGCTATTTGTTTGGGTGTTTTGTTTATTGTTATCCATTAAATTTTTTTCTTCCCCTAAGTATAGGAAGGAGTGATAGGTAATAATAATTGGTCTTCACTTGAAATCCCTGGGTACATTGGTTGTAGAAAGGTCCTGAGTAATTACTGTGTCTTTAATGAGTTATACCAGATCTGGACTCCTCAGGGAAGCAGGGGCCCTAAGGCCCAGAAATGGCCATGGGGATGTGAGTAGGTATGGAGCAACGGGATGAGTACAGAGGCCACCAGTTCATTTGCCTGAAAAGCTGAGCGGGATCTTGAACCAGAAACTGTGACTCTGTACTCAGCAAATCTGGGTACATTCAAGAAAATAAGCTGGTGTCTTTTTGTCAATCCACATGAATTTCCAGTGTGATGCAGGACAGCCTCTAGGTATGATAGAATTCTTCTTTTATCTGTCTCTCAAGACATCACCATACTGTACAAGTATTTGTTTCACGGTCATACTATAAGCACTTTTATATGGATGGGTTCATCACAGTTACTCATCATGTCAATTTCTCTCGGTATCACACCGTTTCAGCATAAGAGCAGCACTGTGAGACGGAGTTCACTGCTGTAATGCTAAATAGTTGATTTGATATGTTCTCCTGTGGCGTCTTAACAAACTCTGCAGAATGTTCTACCCAAGATGATGATTAATTTCATCTGTACAAGTTCACAAATCTATGTTTTAATGATAATATCTGTGACTGCTCTTAAGGGCAGTCCATCAAGGGAGATATTAATTAATATCACCTATGTTTTCATGCAAAGGTACAAGAAGAACTCTCAAACTCAGTACTTCTACGTAACCCAAGAGTATAGGCAGGTGTACCAAATATTAGAAACATATCACTTGTAAATTTTAAGTACTATTTAATTTGAAAATGTTCTGAATATCTAAAGACAGTATGAAGCCCGTTGGCCCAATAGGGGTAACAGTTGATGGTGATTTCTCTGGCTTCTGATCTTTGCACACATGCATGCCTATCACAATAGTACTATTAATTTACAGAAGAAGGAGACACTGGACATGGTGGCACATACCTATGATGCCAGTACTCGGGAAGCAGAGGTAGGAGTGCCCATCTTTGAGGTCAGTCTTGAATACATAAGGAGAGTATCATTTTAAGGGGCATATTATTTCTTTTTCCTATGTGGCTTCATCTCTGTAATGCTAATACACAATGTGTAAGTGTGCTAACTCTGAATTCAGCTGCGTTGAACTCTTGTCGGTCTGTGAAAATTCAGTCAGACTTGGGTGTACATATCAGAGGAAGTTCCTTAGATCTCTTAGATGTTCTTACTCTTTTGTGAGTTCTGAGATATGTAATAGATTCATTAGGCAGTGTTGTATAGAATCATATAATAACACATGTGCTGTGTGTGTGCGTGTGCTCCCATGTATGTGACATAGGACACAGACTCTCCAGTGTGAGAGGCTGATAAGGACACTATTCAAAGAACTTTCTAGAACATTAGAATCCTTGAAAAGAGTGGATGCTACAGAGTTGTGTCTTAGACAGATAATGTAGATTTTGATACAGTGATATGCCCTTTTCCTCTAATTCCTTCATCTGACTGCATGAAGCTCATCATGTGAAGTGTTATTATTCTACTCAAAGTCTACATATTAACGGACATTTATGGAAAATCTGCAGAGTGACACGCAGAAACCTTGTCTCAAAAAATAAAGAATATCTGCATAGCAAATAGTATTTGTCCAAAATTGCTATCAGGTTTAACCCACTCTATGGATAAATTAACCATCACACACAATATAGACATCTGAAGAATAACTCAAGGGAAGATTCTAAATTCACTTGTTGCTTTTACTTTTTAATTATTTATAATATTTTTCATGCTGTCTTTGGCAGCAATTTCATGACTTTTTTTGGACTAAAGCATATGGACATGATTTGGAGTCACCAGTATTACAGAGAAATACAAGTGGCTAGCACTAACACTGAGGAGATGCAACATTAGATCTCCAACACTCATTATAAAGTACAAAATTTAGTGCTAATTGCTCAAGTCTGTTTACGTGGAATGTTTTGTTCCATTGTATTTTAAGAAATCTGCATGAGGTGAGCAGCAAGTAACAAAGCTTCATGGGCCAAGTTCATGCATCGTGAAAGGTACTGGCTCTAGTTGGAGGTTAAGAATGATTATAAATAATAAAGCAGAAAGAGAGCATATGATACATTTCCTCCACAGAGTTTACAATTGACGGTGAGGTGTCTTAAAGTAGTGATCAGAGTTTTGAGTACATGGGATATGTTTGGGATACTGTAGAACATGGATGACGGTCTCACTTATGAAAAGATAGAATAAATTTAGCTGTAAATGTGAGAAGTAATATCCCTTACATATGAGTGAGGAAGAAGCAGATAAAAGAGAAGCAGAGGGGAGGAATGATAGGCAAGTAGAGGAGAAATCTGAAATGAGGGCAGTGAAAAATTTTAACCCAACATTGGTTAAGATAAAAAAGCAAGTGTCACTGTAATACTAAGTAAGGATATACCATTGGCACATGTGAAGTAATGAAACAGCATTTGTGTCCTTAATAGGAGCTTTTCCTTATCCTCAGAGCAACAGTGGTAATGTGAAAAATAAACCAGAAAAGAGATGATGGGCTTCCTCTACTAGAATGCCCAGTGTAAAAGAAGCAGGTTGAAAGAGACAAACATGAGAACATAGACATGAACTGAATTTTCTTCTGTATTCCAGTAAAGACAAAATCTGATCCTCACATATGGATACAATCTCACAGAAAGAAATGGGTGAAATAGGAGAATGACGAGGAGACTGTATAATGTACGACAGCAGTTCAAGGTAACCAAAAAAAAATTGAATGGATCAAAATTCATAGAGTTCTGACTCAAACCTTAATTTCCTCCTTGGCTTTACTATGGGGAAACTAGGAGGAAGGAGATTGAAGAATGTTTTGGGAGGCCGGGCGATGGTGGCGCACACCTTTTTTTTTTTTTTTATTGAGGAAAGAAGAAAAAAAACATAAACAAAAGACTAGTTTCCACCTCCTCCCAGCCTCCCATTCCCCTCTCCCTCCTCCCACCCTTCTCCCCCTCCCCCCACTCCTCTCCCCCTCCCTCTCCAGTCCACAGAGCAGTCCTGGTTCCCTGCCCTGTGGTAAGTCCTAGGTCCTCCCCCCTCCGTCCATATCTAGGAAGGTGAACATCCAAACTGGCTAGGCTCCCACAAAGCCAGCACATTAAGTAGGATCAAAACCCCCTGCCATTGTCCTTGGTGTCTCATCAGCCCTCATTGTTCGCCATGTTCAGAGAGTCCGGTTTTATCCCATGCTTTTTCGGTCACAGTCCAGCTGGCCTTGGTGAGCTCCCCGTAGATCAGCTCCACTGTCTCAGTGGGTGGGTGCACGCCTCGTGGTCCCGGGTGGCGCACACCTTTAATGCCAGCACTCGGGAGGCAGAGGCAGGTGGATCTCTGTGAGTTCGAGACCAGCCTGGTCTATAGAGCTGGTTCCAGGACAGGCTCCAAAGCCACAGAGAAACCCTGTCTCGAAAAACCAAAAAAAAAAAAAAAAAAGAATGTTTTGGGAGACAACAGAGTGAAGACACGAATTTCTCTTGGGGTTTTGAGCTTCCGATGCCTGTCATCCATGCAGTGGAGGGAGATGATCAGTGAAGAGTGGAGTAGAAATCTGTATGCTACAGAGACTTGGATGTCTGAGTTTGAAATGGCAATATTATGAAAAATCATTGATGGTTATGATTACAGACATTTGGAGTTTAAGATTATACTTACTATGATTACTGTCATATCCATTATGGTAGAATATACATCCTAAATATATGTTCATTTTTTTCTTTGAATTATAAGAAATCCTGTTATTTTTTCATTAGGATACTGGGTATGAAGAACAATAATGAACAACCAAACTGTCATCTCCCACTTCCTCCTCCTGGGCCTGCGCATTTCCCCAGAGCACCAGCACCTGTTCTATGCCCTGTTCCTGGCCATGTACCTCACTACTGTCCTGGGGAACCTCATCATCATCATCCTCATTCTACTGGACTCCCATCTGCACACACCCATGTACTTGTTTCTCAGCAACTTGTCCTTCTCTGACCTCTGCTTTTCCTCTGTCACAATGCCCAAATTGCTGCAGAACATGCAGAGTCATGATCCATCCATTCCTTATGCAGGTTGTCTGACACAAATATACTTTTTAATGGTTTTTGGAGACATGGAGAGCTTCCTTCTTGTGGTCATGGCTTATGACCGCTATGTGGCCATCTGCTACCCCCTTCGGTACACCAGTATAATGAACACCAAGCTCTGTGTGAATCTAGTAGCGCTGTCCTGGGTCCTTACTTTGTTACACTCCATGTTTCATACCCTGCTCCTGACTAGATTGTCATTCTGTGAGGACAACGTGATCCCCCAGTTTTTCTGTGACATATCTGTTCTGTTCAAGTTGGCCTGCTCTGACAGTTATATTAATGAACTAATGATATTTATCTTGGGAGGGCTCGTCATTGTTACCCCATTCTTACTCATTGTTGTTTCCTATTTACAAATTGTCTCCTCCATCCTGAGAGTTTCATCTACTCGGGTTATCCACAAGGTCTTTTCCACTTGTGGCTCCCACCTGTCTGTGGTCTCACTATTCTATGGGACAATTATTGGTCTCTACCTATGTCCTTCTGCTAATAACTCTACTGTGAAGGAAACTTCCATGGCCATGATGTACACAGTGGTGACTCCCATGATGAACCCCTTCATCTACAGCCTGAGGAACAGAGATATGAAAGAAGCCCTGATAACAGTCCTTTGTAAGAAGAAAATCTCCTTATGGTAGCATTACTAGAAATTTTACTTAAACTTATCTATTAAATATATTGATATTAATATCACAAAATATTTCCATGCAATGGGACCCACATGCAAGAACAAACTACATAATATTTTCAATTTCAAACAGAAATTTTGTAACGTTGTTCACTTAAGGAAGGGGACATCAATGACTCAGTGACACATTCTCTGCCGTGCATGTGTGATCCCAGGAAATCATTAGATAAGAGCCATTGTTTTATCAGATTTTCATTCCTTACATTCTTTTTATATTGAAAATAGATTCTTCTCTCACACAATACATCCCAACCACAGTTTCACTTTGCTCCACTCCTCCTAGTTCCCCATCATGGCCCTCCTCCCTTATATCTATCACTTCTCTGTTTCCTCTCTAGAAAAGTGCAGGCCTCCACAAGATGACAGTCAATCAGGACCAAAAAAGATAGAATAAGACAAGGCAAAAAGCCCTCACATGGAGGCTGGACCAGGCAACACAGGAAGAATAAAGAAGTACAAAAATAAGGCAAATGAATCACAAAAACCCACCCCTACTCTTAGAAAGCTCACAAAACATCCAGCTAACAGTCTAACCTATATGCAGAGGACCTGGTACATACCAAAGCAACCCCCATGCTTGAAATTTCAGTCTCTGTGAGCCTATGTGAGCCCTACTTAGGTGACATGGTGGGCCTTGTTTTTCTGGAGTCCTCCATTCCCTCTGACTCCTATAATCTTTCTTAGACCTCTTCCCTGGTACTCCCTAATCTTAAAGGGGAGGGCCACAATTGGAGACCTCCAATTTAGATGTTCTCTCTGCATGATTTCTGATTGTTGGCCTCAGCACCTGCTCCCATCATCTGTTGTAAGAAGTCTCTATGATGATGGCTGGACAGCACTGATCTATGAAAACAGCAGAGTACCATTAGTAATAATTTCATTGATTTTTTTGCCAGTTTGGTTCTACCTAGGTCTCTGGACTATGCAGTTCCTGGTTCCAGGGCATGGGTTCCATCTGGTGCGATGGGCCTAAACACATCAAACATGGGCTGTCCACTCCCACAAGCTATGCGCTACCATTGTCCCAGCATATGTTTCAAGCAGAACAGATTGTATGTGGAGAGTTTTGTGACTATGTTGGTGTCCATGTTTGACTTTTTTGTAGCCTGACGAGTTCTTTCATATGTTAAAGAGTCTAGAATGTAGGGGTGAAGGCTGCAATCCTTCATGAGCTGATCCTCTGAATGCTCAATGTGATGCATGGATGTTGTCTCGTCAACTGGGCCCCACTGTCACTTTTCAGAAAGCTAACCTCTGTTCTAGCAACAGTCTAGGTTGTTTAGGCATATCCACAAGACATCTACAACCAACAATTCAACCAAATGTAACCCATTCCTACCACCAGGAGCCTTGTCTGGCTATAAAAGACAGCCAGTTCAGATTCTGTAATCATTCATTTCTGGATGTTCTCACTAGGATGGTTGATTCCAGGTATTTCCCACAACACTATGTTTCTACACTGCCACCAATAGGTCTCCCAGTTCCAGCTGTCTCTCCCAGAACTTTCTCCCTCCACCCCTGCAACTCAGTCCTCACATTCCCATCCCCACCTGCAGTCAGTTTAGCTGAAGAATCTATTCAATTTCCCTTTAACAGAGAGATCAATGCTTGTCTTAGCCTTCCTCATTATCTGTGAATTTGTAGCTTGATTGTTATTTACTTAACAGCTAATTTCAACAGAGAAGTGAATTCATACTATATTTATCTGTCTGGGTCTGGATTACCTCACTCAGGAGGACGTTTTCTTGTTAAACAATTTGCATGCAAATTCATGTCAGTTTTTAAACAGATGATTCCTTGTGTAAATGTCCTTCATTTTCTTTATCCATTCTTCAATTGAGAGACATGTAGGTTGTTTCCAGTTCCTGATTATGATGAATAAAGCTGCATTAAATGTAGTTGAGCAAGTAAGTGTCCCTGTGGAAGAATGGGGCATCCTTTGGGTATAAGCCTGAGAGTGGTATAGCTTGAAATAAATTGAAGTAAACCAAGTTTTCCCAAGGTTTTATTATTTTATTCAAATTTCTGTGTTGATTACAGTATAATATTTAAACATGAATAAATGATGTATCATGATCTAGACTGATGTTCCATAGCATCTAAATAACTCAACCACAACCTCGTTTTACTGTCTCCTACTGTTCTTCCTACACTAGTTTTATATCATTTCATCTCTTATCATTCCCCCTTTTTTTATTTCTGTGTTGTTTTTTCCGACTTTCTCAGCCCCTTGTATAACAGCATTATTTGTACTATCTTTTTTCATGGAATTATTAGCCAGAAGACATTCAAATTTTATTTGCCCCAAACCACAGAAAGAAGGTGGAATATAACAAAATTAAATCTCAAACATTGCCTTTTGTTTTAAGATATTTTATGCAGATATTTTATAGTACTTCAAAAATATGCTGTCCAAATACTTTCATGCCATGTGAACAGTTATAACCTCTAGTTTTCCATGAACTAGATCTCCTGTCTTAATACATTCATTCCCTAATCTGTCCCTATATGGAATGATGCAAAATCTGTTACTGTATTCTAGACTTCATTGACTCTCTCATTTTTATTCAAACACCAAGACCATCAAAGTTCTTTTCTTTGTTGCATGTCTGTCTAGTGCACATTTTCATGTGTGTGTAATCTTAACATACACACCCATGAATGCTAAATTCTATCACTACTTCTCCTTGTCCTTTCTTGGTTAAATTTATCATATCATCTTCTACATAAATACCTGAGCCTTGACATCTCTATTGCATAACTGCCCATAAAAATAAACAATCATTCATACAGCTTTTATATTGTACCTTTTCAAGTAAATATTCTTCCTGGAACATTATTTTCTACATGGTTTTAAATGTCACAGCAGTTTTTGTCACAGATGAACTGAAATCTCAGTGGTATAGTACAACAGAATTATCAATGATAAAAAATATGATCATATAAGTTAAGTCATTTTCCTATATGTGAGAAAAAAACTAATATTTTAATATGCAATAGGTAATGTAATCAATAACAACTAAAGCTAAGCAACACCTAAAATTCACCTTAGAGAAAAAGACAATCTTATCAAGAAATAATTCTGGGAACACTGAATATCCACATATGGAAGAGTGATATTAGACTTTTCTTTCTCACTGTGCATGAAATCAATGCATTGCAAACAGATAAGCATATTGATAAATGGGATCAAATTGAAGAGGTAGACATAAGTCCATACACTTACGGACACCTGATTTCTTAATAGAAAGCCAAAAATACACACTGGTGAAAAGATAGCAACTTCAACAATCCCTTCAAAGCTGAGGAATCTGACTGGAAGAAGATAATGAAAGCTTTTAATTGACATAAGTCATGGGTGTCTTTAAAGAAACAATGTCTTCCAGAAACAACAGTACTGGTGTATGTATGAACTCACAAAAACTGTAGCAGCATGTCTGGGTTCCAGCCAGATGGGATGTCAGCATTGAGAGAAGGAGCGGTGTTGAAATAGGAGCAGTGGGGCTGGGTTGCATCCCTTCACCCGGCTAGCTTTACCCTGAAAATAATTACATGGAAACTGTATTCTTTTAAATACTGCCTGGCCCATTAGTTCTAGTTTCTTATTGACTAGCTCTTACATATTGACCTAACCCATTTCTAATAATCTGTGTAGCCCACAAGCTGGTTTACCAGGGAAGATCTTAACCCGCATCTGTCTGGAGTGGGAGAATCATGGCTACTCCTTGACTCAGCTTCTTTCTCCCAGCATTCTGTTCTGTTTACTCCGCCTACCTAATTTTATGTCCTATTAAAGGGCCAAGGCAGTCTCTTTATTTAACCAATAAAATTAACACAAAACAGAAGACTCTCCCCCATCAGAGCAGATTCCCACCCCAGCAAAGGATATAAATGAAATAGGCACCTGGGTAGAATGGAGGTGATTGGGGTTGGGAACAGGAAGGAATCAAGTTGAAGGGTTGGAAAAGAAAATAATCTTTTCTGGACATCTGCCTGTATGCATACCTCACAATACTATAGAATTATTACAGAAATGGTAGTCATTATTATTTTAAGATATGTACCTCCCCTTCCTAAGTTTATTCAGGGTTTTTATCATGAGTTGGGGGTTGAATTTTTGCCTAGGGCCTTTTCACGGTTGGTTAAGATAATCATGTGATTTCTATCCTTAAATATACTTGTGGTAATGTGTTTTAATTACAAGTTTGAATACATAGAATTATTTTTACCTCCCAGGAATAAAGTAAACATGGTCATGGGAGAAAAAAAAAGAAAATCCTGGGAGAGACAACTGGAACTGGGGGGGTGCATATTAGGAGTGAGATAGAAACCAAGTTCAATGAAAATTCCCTGAATTCTACCAGGGTGACTAGTAATGGGGAATACAGAGTCTGAAGCAGCCACCTTCTGTAATCACACACTGCTTCCAATGGAGGGAATGGCATAAACATGGCACAAAACCTTCGACCTACAATTTGTCCTGCCTGCAAGATGTGCTGGGTAATAGTGTCACTAAACTTGTGGGAGTAGCAAACAATGACTGATCCAACTTGGGACTGATGCCACGAGAGAGTGCCAAAGCCTGACACTGCCTGGAGGCCAGAAACCAAAGGCAGGATAGCCCAGAGATCCAAGGTAGAACTAAATATAAATGTCAAAAAATCAGTGAAATGATTTCTAATGGTATTCTGCTATACTCATAAACCAGAGCCTAGCATAATGGTTATTAGAAAGGCTTTATCCAGCAGCTAATAAGAAAAGATGAAGTGATGCACAGTTAAACCTTAGGTGATGCTCAGAGGGGTCAAGGACACCACAGAATCAACTAACCAGGGCTCCTAGTGGCTAACAGAGACTGAAGCAATAGAGCTGATATGCATATGACTTAGCTCCTCTGTGTATAAGTTATGGCTGTGTAGCTTGGTGTTCTTGTAGGACTCCTAATAGAGG